TTAACAGGTTCAATTTATCAATGGACGTGTACCGCAGTCTGTTGCAGAAATACGCGGGTATTTGGTGGAACACAGTTAAAATGTTAACATATTTTAAAATTCGTTTCAAATTGTAATTGTAATTACATTCTTTTGTTTTATTACTAAGATTGGTGTGTGAGGACATCAGTGGGGGCCAAGAGGATGTTCCCATTCCGGCTACCAATTTGGTTGATGATCCACCTGTTGCACCCACAGGCAAGTCGAATTATCAAATTTTAGAAATTTTCCCCGTCTTGGATGCACATGTGCATCTGAATAAAATGATTTTTCCCTAATTATCATTGAGTTGTCAATCTCAAATTTTAACATCTCATTAATCATCTATTTCACACTACATGCATGATTGTGTCCAATTCCTAGATGTGGCGGTTGAACTTTTTCATGGACGTGTGGTCTCCTCTAATTTGTTCAAACAGTCACTTGAATGATTTTCTATTCTATACTAAGGCAAGTACAATAATCTGGTGTCAAATTCTTAAATTTCAGGTTTCACGTATTGTAAGTCTATCCAAGTTTCGCAAAATGTGAAGCTTCCCACAGATGCCACTGGATGCAATTGCAAAGGTTCTTGCACAGACCCCAAGACTTGTGCATGCACCATGCTTAATGGCGATGATTTCCCATATGTGCAGCGTGATGGTGGCAGGTGAGCAATACATTAAACATGATACTGTATCAATGTATCTACATGAAATTTTGATATTAGATGCCTAATAGTTTTGGCTGATGTTATTGCTTTATGTTCTTATTTGAGGCTACTTTTGCTTATGTTTTATCTTCCAGATTAATTGAGGCGAAGGATGTAGTGTTTGAATGTGGTCCAAAATGTGGTTGTGGACTTTCTTGCATCAATCGTACTTCTCAGAGAGGGCTGAAGTATCGTTTTGAGGTGGTGTTATCGCTGCCACTTTGTTTGGTTATATGGAACATAAACACATGATTACACAAATATCACTGCTTAGCTATTGTCAAAGTGTTGCATGTTTAAAATGAAGGTTCTAAATTTTGGCCATTAGCAGGTTTTCCGGACACCAATGAAAGGATGGGCTGTTAGATCATGGGATTTTATACCTTCTGGAGCACCAGTCTGCGAGTACATAGGAGTAATTAGAAGGACAGAAGATGTAGATAGTGCCTTAGAGAACTATTACATATTTGACATGGATTGCTTGCAAACGATGAAGGGGCTTGATGGAAGAGAGGTATTTCCACTGCAGCTGTATTCAACTTTCCAATATGAAATGCATTTGTCATTTTCAGTTTGAAGTCTCTCTGTGGCTTTCTGTACTGTTCGATAAAAGATCACATCTTTATTTGATAGCTTTAAAAACCTAGTGCGTGCAAACTGAATCTCCTACTTGGTTTCTGCATGCATGAATTAATTATCTCGGTAGGTAATGCTTGTTCTGATATATTTTTAAGAATTGTTGATGATGGTTTATATTTTGGCTTTAATGTATGGAAGAATTTAATCACAAAGTTTTTGTATGTAGAAACAAACTTGAGAATGAAATGTTGGCAGAGAACGAATATTTTGTAAACTTGTAGTTGTCAGAACATGAGACTATTTTTGGATGAACACTGCCCACAAGTGGCTTTCTATCTAACTACGTCACCTTCATGACCATGTGGATCTGTGTGAGGAAACAGCCGTTTGTTCTGTTAAACTCAATTACACTCTGCCATTTCATATGACATCTTTCTTTGTCAATTAATGTATTTTGATCTTGCTGAGGGGCACCCCAGAGATATTTGTCTCATTTATCTTTTTGACAGAGGCGATCACAAGCTGTATCCATACCAGCCGTTCATTCACTGGAGAGACCTGATGATCAGAGCTCTGATAGCGGGCCAGAGTTCTGCATTGATGCAGGTTCAACTGGAAACATAGCAAGATTTATAAATCACAGTTGTGAGCCCAATCTGTTTGTCCAGTCTGTGTTGAGCTCACACCACGACTTAAAACTAGCTCGGGTGATGTTGTTTGCTGCGGACAACATACCTCCTTTGCAGGTCCCTCTTTCTCTCTCTCTCTTTCTCTCGGTCGTTTTCATCATCAGTCAATCTTGTTTGTTTGAGGTTGAAAATGTGAATGTTCTGAGATAAAAATGCTGGTAATATTTTTAAAAGGAGTAATGTGTTGTGTATTTATGAACTTTGTAGCCAACAAGGTTAATGTTTTGGTGCTTTAAATTCTGTTGATTTTAGGATCCTGATATGAATTTGTTCTCTGTTGGATGAGCTTGGAATCTTCTTTATGTGGACTTTAACTGCGAGTTCCAGTGCTTGGATCTTAAACTTAATTTTGGAGTGGCTGACATTATTGTTGGATTTATGACAGGAGCTCACGTATGACTATGGCTATGCCCTTGATAGCGTCTTGGGTCCCGATGGGAAAGTGAAAAAGATGTTCTGCCATTGTGGTGCCGCAGGTTGCAGGAAGCGCTTATTCTAGGTGATGAAACTGCTATTTAGACTCTTGACTTTGCAACAACTCCAGGTTATGGGTTTATTGTTGTATTCTTCTGTAATTCCGTCGGCTGATCTAACCTCTACGCTTTGGGAGATTGTGCTTCAAATGCACAGAAAAGGCACATGTCAAACCATGGACACATTTTGTAACTCACATGTCCAGAGAGAAAATTGAATTGAAATATCAATATTTCGGTAAAAAACTAGCAACCTTGCATTCACCCCCGTTCCCCTTGTCTGCTCTTTTGGGCATATATATGGGAATGGGCTGGGGTAACGATGCATTCTACTCATCTGATATATCATCGATCCAGATTTCCTACTTTATTTATTTATTTTTGTAGATTTATTTATTTATTTTTGTTTTGGCCAAGTCGATCTTAGATTCCCTCGGGAGTCCAGACAAGTAGATTTCTGTGCAATGTGTGTAGGCATTGGTTATTTCCGGCATGAAAAAGCTGCTCCCCAGACTGCTCTTTATTTTCCTTGTCTAGAAAAGTTTAATTCTTGCTTGAATATTATTTACCCTTCCTTAACAAGGGACTTGGAATTAGGTTTTATCGTTCCAGAAATTATCAAGCAAATCAGATAGGGGTTATGAAGAAGAAAGAGATGCAAAATCGCAAACCAGTAACCATTTGTTAGAGAAATACATCATTACATAACACGAACACGAAAATCGCAGTTAACTCTGAAATGTCACACGTCCGTCTATCAGTGAAAAAAATTATTCACTCATCCAATTCCAAACTGGTTTTTGTCCGGTATTGGCGTCCAGTTCTCTGTATACTGCTTCTTCCATCCGTTGCTGTATCCGGTTCATCTTCCTCCATTGCGCAAACATCTTCATTATCCTCCGCTGCAATGGCAAGTGGCATCACTTTGCAAGCCGCAGATTCCCTTCGATCACCTCCCGGTCTCTCTGACTCCCCATCGTATTCCATCATTACAGCATCACTTGATTTCTTTCTCGGTATAAATGTGACAGGTTTTGAAAGATCAACAGAAGCATCCTCAGCCTGTGGTTCCATAGAATTTGATTTCCTCACCAGATTAAGGAAGTCCATATAGGCTTGCTTGTTAGACTCCTCATCTACGTCAGCTGATGAATCAAACGTATAATGCGTATATCTTGAAGGATTTCGTATATAATCCGGAACTGGAGGATTTTCATTTGAATGAGTTTCTACAGTAACATCTTTGGCTCCCTCACCCTCTTCATCTTCATTACTTTTGCAGTTGGAGTCAAACCGGACACGTTTTTGTGTTTTAGACGAGTCTAACTGATTATCATTCTTCCTCTTCAGAATCGACTTCGGGTTGGGTGCATCTTCAGAGATGTTTTCAGCAGCTATGGCAGATGGTGCGCGGTTCCCAGAAACCCTGTGGGAGTCAATTTTTTGAGCTGCTTCAGCATCTTGCTGGAGCCTAATCTTAGCTGCCAGGTGATTGGCACGTGGGTCTCTAGTGAAATCCTTGATGGAACTAGGAACCTCATCTTGAGTGTCTATGTCGATACCATAGTCGTTGACATCCCTCATATACAAGCGATCTCCAGCGGTTTCCTTGCCAACAGCCACTTTGTCATATCCATCTTCCTCATCCTGCATACACAAGAAAAATACAGGTTACGTTATTACAGGCAGTCCCAACCCTCAATCATCATTACAATTTGATTCCGCACTTATTTAATGTTCACAGGAATTGGGATCAATCATCATTACGATACTGATTTCGGATTTGCTCATACATCGAATTACACTACATAGTGATGGCATGATAATCTAATCAAGATGGAATGATAAATACCTCGAAGTCGAGAGTGCAGTCCCAGCCGATTGAGGATTTAATTTCCCATTCCTCTTCGTTGTAGTCGTCTGGCTTGGGCTTTGTTGCAGGCTGACTGGAAGAAGAAGCAGATGCCTCTTCCTCCTCGTCTTCTTCTTTGTCTTCCACGTCGTCGTCAAGGTCTAGAAGGTCATCCTCCAGGTCGTCACTGAAATCATTCTTTAACTTTGGCTTTGGTTTTGAGTAGAAGGGTAGGGGTTCAGCTTCGGGTTCAGGGCTGCCCTTGTCCCTGTTCCATTCCCTTCTCTCCATTTCCTCGTCTGTTAGGGACCATAGCGAACTCAGGGACGACGGTGGACCGCTCGATGGCGACGGCGACGAACTGGCGAGTGAGCCGAAGATTTTGCCTACTCGAACCCTAAACGTGTCTTCCATGGTTGGGAATTCGAATTCTGAATTCTGAAAATCTCGATTAGGGTTTAAATGGGAAACCCATGGATTGCACCGACCATACTACAACGGCACATCCCGATTTGAGTGGGCCTAATCCAATTTTGGGCTACTATATTGGAGATTGCCATCAATAGCCCGTGGGTTAAGTATGGGCTGGACTTGTCAAAGGATAAGTGAAAAGAAAATTACGTGTATATCCGTTGGAAATTAAAAAATAATTAAAACCAAACCATCACTTTCATGATCATCATCATTAAAATGACATGTGCCGGACCTCCGGTACAAGACAAGAGAAGAAGTTCTCGCTTTCCGGTGAAGCAAGAGAGACCGATCGCTTATTGATATGCTCTTTCAGGCAATCTCTGAGAAAATAATTTCAGTATATGGCTTCTACCGCTACGGCGTTGTTGCTGTTCACGGCGGCGACGGCGGTCTTATTGGCTGGGTTACCGGGAGCAAAATCGGAGTACATAGCTTATAACACGACGGGCGGAATTGTCCCCGGAAAAATCAATGTTCATTTAGTTCCCCACTCTCACGACGACGTCGGGTGGCTTAAGACCGTTGACCAGTACTTCGTAGGCGCCAACAACTCAATTCGCGGCGCTTGCGTTCAGAACGTCCTCGACTCTGTAATTTCGGCCTTGCTGGAAGAGAAGAATCGGAAGTTCATCTATGTCGAGATTGCATTCTTTCAGAGATGGTGGAGACAGCAAAGCCCGGCCTTGAAGGCTAAAGTCAGGGAGCTGGTCAGCTCTGGTCAGCTCGAGTTCATGTAAATATTTCTTTCTTTGCACATTTTTTTAAACTCAATTGTTAAATTCTTAGAAGCATTTTTTGGTTTGGGTATTGAAGAAATGGAGGAATGTGTATGCACGACGAGGCCACCCCGCATTACATGGACTTGATTGATCAGACAACTTTAGGCCATCAATTTATACTGAAAGAATTTGGTCAGGTTCCTCGAGTCGGCTGGCAGATTGACCCTTTTGGCCACTCTGCTGTTCAAGCTTACCTGCTTGGTGCTGAGGTATGATATGTAATCTACCCACTTGTTCTTTCATCAATCATCGCTTATTGGCTTATTGCAATTGGAACTTACTAGAAAATCAATGCTCATTGCAGTTAGGATTCGATTCCCTCTTTTTCGCTCGAATAGATTACCAAGATAGAGCTAAGCGACTCCGGGATAAGACTCTTGAATTTATATGGCAGGGTTCTAGATCCCTTGCTTCATCTTCGCAGGTCATCTTTCTTTAATTTCCACTGTATTCAACTTGTAACACACTTTTCTTCATCTGTTCCTAAACCGCATTTATAAAAATGTACTTTCAGTTATTTAGAATTCATTGGCTCTCTGTGTTGCAAAATTCAATTGCAGATTTTCACAGGCATTTTCCCCAGGCATTATGATCCCCCTGATGGTTTCGTGTTTGAAATAAATGATGTGTCACCCCCTATTCAGGTACGTCTCATAAAAGGTTCATACAACGCATTTTTTATTTCTTGAGTCTCGAGCTCCTTTTTCACTTGGGAAATTTGTTTGAAGGATGACGTTCTCATGTTTGACTACAATGTTCAAGAGCGAGTCAACGACTTTGTTGCAGCTGCTTTAGCACAGGTAGGGCCTAAAACAAATTGTATCAACTATAATGTTTTTCTGTTTTCCCTCTGGCTTCTCTTACTTGATTATCAGTTGCATTCAGTAAAGAATTTTTTTCCCCTTTAGGCTAATGTGACAAGAACAAACCATATTATGTGGAACATGGGGACAGATTTCCGCTATCAATATGCAAATTCATGGTTCAGGCAGATGGACAAATTCATTCATTATGTCAATCAGGTACTTATAGTACAGCGTCTAGACAATGAATGTAACAAGAAGACTTGAAGCTTATATTGTTTCATCCCAGACTTTAAACTATGAGATTGTAAATGCTAATTTGAAAAATTGATTTCATTTGGAAAATAGGATGGGCGTGTCAATGCATTGTATTCAACCCCATCAATCTACACTGATGCAAAATATGCAACAAATGAACAATGGCCTCTAAAAACTGATGATTTCTTCCCGTGAGTTTAACAAATCTTTCCTTTTAATCCTACGTATCATACATTTCTATGTCTTTGTATTAAAAGGTACCAATTTCAGGTATGCAGATAAACCTAATGCATATTGGACTGGTTATTTTACAAGTCGTCCAGCCCTTAAAGGTTATGTCAGAAGTATGAGTGGTTACTATCAGGTAAGATCTCCCGTCTCTTTTTGTGATGTGGTTCTAGTTTCAAGTAGGTTGGTCCTTATAGGTTTTCTAACCATTGTTGCTTTCCTTGTTCTGCTATTAGGCAGCTAGGCAATTGGAATTCTTTAAAGGCAGAATTGATTCTGGACAAAATACTGATGCATTAGCTGATGCTTTGGCTATTGCTCAACATCATGATGCAGTTAGTGGTACAGAAAGACAGCATGTTGCTGCTGATTATGCAATGCGTCTGTCAATAGGCTATTTACAGGTCAAAGTCACTTTCTCTTCCAATGTTCCCATTACACTTTTTCTTATCGTTGTTGGTATTTATTTTAATTTAATATGTAAATCATATATTCATATAGGCTGAAAAGGTGGTTGCTTCCTCTCTTGCTTACCTTTCCAAGTCAGAATCAAGATCCGGACAGGAGCAAACTGTCACAAATTTTCAACAGGCAATATATTTTTAAACTTAGCATGAATTTCTTTTATACTCTGAAGGTTGAAAAGTGTGTGCACTGACTCTTTATAAAAAAAAGTGAAATTTGAAAAGTTTGTGCACTGGAAGAGTAGACAAACTACGTACAGTGGTTTAATTTAAAACTTGTATGTGCATGTGTATCTTTTATGCATACTATGCTAGCAAATCCTTATCCACAAGGGGTAAAAAGGCATTTGAAACATTATATCCTTTTTTTTTTTTTTTGGTATTTTGGTGAAAATTTGACAGGGCCAGGACATAAACCAGTTGGTAGCCACACCTCTCCTGTGAACAGGAGATACCAAGTTCAAATGACCCCTTTCCCAATTGTCATAACGTTACTATTTTTTTTATAAGATCATAACTTTACTTACGAAATCTCTTTTGTACATTATTTTCCAAGAACTGAGTTGAGCATCTATTTAATCCAGCTTATTGATTTGTTGGCAGTGTCCTCTCCTAAATATTAGTTATTGTCCTCCATCAGAAGCTGTCTTGTCTGATGGAAAAAATTTGGTAAGCATACTGTAACTTCTTAAGCTGTATGCTTATGTCAAACTGAAGATTTAGAACTGGCCTTTCATACCACTTTAACATCATACGGAATCCTCCTTGCAGGTTGTTGTTGTCTACAATCCACTTGGTTGGAAGAGAGAAGAAGTGATACGTATCCCCGTGAGTACTAATTTTACTTATTCTTTCTTCCTTTAACCTTTAACGATGTGCTTATTGATATTATATCTCATCATTGTCTCTTATTTACAGTTTTAATGTTAATCAAGTCTTCTTATATCGTCCATATCTTCCATCATCTTTTTGCTTTTCTTAGAGCCATGACGTGCATTTCTAGCAACTTACGATGACAGTCACCATTCTGTACTTGGTTTAATAATCCGATAAATGTAGATGTTGTATCATCTGAAAGAGCCATCTTTTTTATGGATTAAATTTTACAGTGCTTGTTGGAAATTAACATAACCTTAAAATTTGATTGTCACTTCTATGTGGTTGACTGCAACACAAATTTGTTGCAGATTTCCTATGAAAAGGTTACTGTTCAGGATTCCGGTGGAACAGAAATTGAAGCTCAGCTTCTACCCCTATCAAACGCTTCTTTGAGGTTAAGGAGTTACTATGTTAGAGCATATTTGGGTAAAACTCCAGGTGAACCACCCAAGTATTGGCTAGCATTTTCAGTGACAGTACCACCAATTGGTTTCAGTTCTTACACTGTCTCAATTGCAAAACAGACAGGTTAGTAATGTCACTTACATTGTAATGCATTGTTCATCTAAAGCAGAACAAATTTATCTTGCCCTGTCACACTAGCAAAACATGTTATCTTATATCATTTTACTTTTGAGATAAAGGTCGTGGTTCAACTGTCTCCAAAGTATACTCGTTAGAGAGAAGTATGAATAAGACCATAGAAGTTGGGAAAGGAAGTTTAAGGCTGCATTATTCTGCAGATGAAGGAAAACTTGCTCGTTATGTTAATAGCAGAAGTAAGGTAGGCTTATGTTTTTTTTCCTCATACTTTTATGTTGAGTTAATATCATTTTCTTTATCCCTTGGTGTCTCTTTTGTAGTCTAATAGCATGCTCACTGCATAGTTTTGACACTGCATAAAAGCAGAAGTTTATAGTTTCATTTCCTTTTCCTTTCCATGTTCCCCCATTCGTATGTATGTCTTTGAATCTTAATTTTCACTTAATGCGACTTTCTGATTGATGTATCAATAATGCTAACATTTGTTATGTAATATATTTTTAATTGAAGGTTTCATCATCTGCTGAACAATCATATAGTTATTATAGTGGAAATGACGGGACTGACAAAGATCCTCAGGTGGTAACATACAAAATATCTTGTAGCTTTCATTGTACTTCAAATATTTTTGTGATTGATTATCATTTGGGATTTTAATTCTTTCTGAAGGCGTCTGGGGCATATGTGTTTCGACCAAATAGCACAATTCCTATACAGTCTGAATGGAAGGTAGTCAAATATGTTAGCACTTGACCAAACTTTTTGTTGATGAAGAATGATCTTTTGCTCCTGATTTTTTTTTTTTTTTTCAATTTAGATGAACTGAATGACTGAGGTTAAGCAAAATTTTAACCTTTTTTCCAGGTTCCTCTAATTGTCATGCGGGGTCCAGTTCTAGACGAAGTACATCAACAGCTCAATCCATGGGTATCTCAGGTGATTCAATTGGCAAAGAAAATGTGGCTGATGCTCTATGTTTATCAGCAGACCTTCTTAACTTTTGCAGTTTCAATTAATTAAGAGACAAATGTTATGGTCCTTACTCTAGATTTTCCTCTTTTTTTCATTTGCATGAGAAATTCTGTAAAAAGTTTACGTAGGTGCCTTGATCAAAAATCTTTTGGGTGTCATGCAATGTACATTAATTGAGGTTTTGCAATTTTCCATTTGAATAGGTGAACTTTAGTGTAATGGTTTTATTTGATCCTATAATACTCTTCTTTTTGGTGCTTGCACGACACTTAAACAATACGAGAGTGAGTGAGTTTTTACTGAGGAAGGGCACTTGTTCAAATTTTTTTGGATAGTAATTATTGCAGAACAAGTTGGTACTTATATTAACATAATGCCACGCACAAACAGATTACAAGGGTGTACAAGGAAAAGGATCATGCTGAAATTGAGTTCACTGTAAGTTTACGGTTGTGTACTGATGTAGTTAAAAGATAAACAAATTTTCATGTTGTGGTTATTATAGAACTTGTCTTTTTAACTGTTATGTTCATCACTTTAGATCGGGCCTATACCCGTGGATGATGGGATTGGGAAGGAAATCACAACTCAAATTACAACAGCCGTGAAGACCAATAAGACATTCTACACAGATTCTAACGGCCGGGACTTCATTAAACGGGTATTTTGATACTTGTTACCGCTTAGATCTTATTGTTTGATATACTGTGGTCTTGGAAGTTTTAGTTGCATTATTTATCACTGTGACAAATACAGGAACATCCTATTTTGATGTTCTCACAATAATTCTTAACCTGTCTATTTTGCCAAGTTTAAATTTCATGGATGGATAACCCACTAGTGATATCTTGGAAGCTGCATTATGCATTAAGTTTGTTTTGGATTAAAAGTGTTTCAGGGTAACTTAATTTATTCCTTTCAAATGACTGGCAGGTTCGAGATTTCAGGACAGATTGGGACCTACAAGTGAACCAACCAATAGCTGGAAACTATTACCCTGTATGCTTCCTTCTGTGGCACACTTCAACTTTGATCTATTATGATTGCAGTCCATATAACTGGAGTATGCATTACTATTAGAGGATCTCTTGCTCTCTATTTCCTCGGTTAAGCCAAAAGCTACCTATGGCCTGTTAAATTAAACTTTTAAGCTTGACATTGTAATACAATTTTCAATCCAATCCAATCCCATGGTACACGATGTAGCTTGGCTCAAGTGATTAAGTGTTGTTTCAGGTTATATAAACCAAAGATGTTGATTTCGGTAGGATTAAACCTTTAACGCAAGAGCCAACCCACTCCATGCCATCCCTCTCTCATTTATGTTAACCCCATTTGAGCTTGACTTGAATCTGATATTCTTCTCATCTTTTTTACTTTTTCTCCTTTAATCATTTTTTCAGATTAATCTTGGAATTTATGTTCAAGATGGCAGTACGGAAGTTTCAGTCTTGGTTGATCGTGCAGTGGGAGGAACTAGCTTAGTAGATGGTCAAATAGAGCTGATGCTCCACAGGTGTCCATGGATTTTGCTTTCTTTCTATTTGAGGAAATAAATATAATGCTTGTTATTCTACTGTAATGCATATTACTTAAATTATTAGGATTGCTTGCATTGTCGTTATCTCTAGTATGCTTCTGTTGTTTTGTAGGAGGTTGCTTCATGATGATACCCGAGGTGTTGGTGAGGTACTGAATGAAACAGCTTGCATCCCTGAGAAGTGTGAAGGTTTAACTGTAAGTATACCTCTTGAGCTACATCCCCAAGCATGTTTATCATAGCATATAATTATTATTTTACCCCACCAGCTTGGGATGGGAAAAATTTGACATTCAATCGTACGGATCTTTTTAAAGACAATTAGTTTAGAGCTGGCATTCAAAGAAAGACCTCTTCCTCCATTCTCCATTCAACAGTTTTCTTCAGCATAACATGATATAGAAATCATATTGGCGAAATGCAATTGTGCAGATCCAAGGGAACTTTTATGTGAGGATCGATAATCTTGGAGAAGGTGCTAAGTGGCGTCGCACGCTTGGGCAAGAGATAAATTCTCCGCTTCTTTTGGCCTTCACAGAACAGGTGAGGAAGTGCTTGAAGTTGATCAAGTGCTATTATGCCACGATGCTCAAATGGCGAAATTTCTTCTTGCAGGATGGAAATGATTGGGTGAATTCTCATGCATCGACTTTCTCTGGAATTGATCCTTCCTATGCTTTACCAAACAATACTGCTGTCATAACACTCCAGGTATTTCAGAGGATGCATTATGGGCATATTTCTGATATCAGTACTCCACTCCACTCTACTCAATATTGTAATATGGTTTGTTGCTTTTCTGAACATTGCAGGAACTTGAAAATCGTGAAGTTCTCCTCCGGCTGGCTCACCTATATGAGGTCTCACTTTCTCTTTTACTCTTTTTGGTTTTAGTTCGCACTAAGTTTTCACTTCAGTGCTAGATATTCGAATTCATAATTTTTGTGGCTGTTTGATATATTTGAAGATTGGAGAAGACAAAGACTATTCTGTACTGGCGAATGTGGAACTAAAGAAGTTGTTCCCAACAAAGAAGGTAAAAGCAATGGATAAGCACTTGATTCCCAGTACTGAAATTGAATGCTCTTTCTTTTTAGTGAATGATTAACTTGGTTCTATTATTTTTCAGATCAGCAAAGTGACAGAGATGAGTTTGTCGGCCAATCAAGAAAGATCCGAGATGGAGAAGAGGAGGTTAGTATGGAAAGTAGAAGGTTCCGACCAAGAGTTCAAGGTTGTGAGGGGTGGACCTGTCGACCCTGCAAAACTGGTTGTGGAACTAGCCCCAATGGAAATACGCACTTTCATTGTCGACTTTGATCACCTCCGTACGTACGGTTCGTGAAAATGAAGCTTTTGTGCCTCTCGTACAATTGCATCGGAGTTGCGTTTTGAGGGTGTCTCAGTGTTCCAAGGGACACTCAGTCCTTGTTGTAGAGTTGTTTAGTAAATGTATCTGTAGCGTAATAAGAATCTCTATATATGAAGGGAGACTGGTAGTTTGGTTCAATTTCCACAATATGTTAAAAACAAGTTGGAACCTTTGTTTGAGAGTGCTTAAATGTCTTGTTTTGTGAGTGAAAAATTGATAAGTGACATCTGTTAAAGTGAAAAGTTCCAAATCAAATATTGCTAGTTAATACTTACTACAGTGAGTACTTTATTATGCATTTTTTAATTTGGCCAATTAGAAAAAGGTCCGTGTGTGTGTGTGTGTTTTTTTTTTTAATTCTAAGAAAAATTATTGGTATAATATTTGAATACCCACAATGTATGTACCCACCTTCTGATTTGATCAAATTAAAAAGTATTACGTGTTTTTTATTTTAAAGTTGAAAAAAAATTAGTAAATAATAAAATAGGCGTTAAAATATCATTGAATAAAAAAATAAAAAAACATAGTAAATACTTAACAGTGAGTGTCCAAGTCCTACCCTTTCTCGAAGTTTTGATTTTTGAAGTGAAAAAAATGTATTTGAAAACTAAGAAATAGAATCTCCTTATCCGAATTGAAATAGTAAATAGTAACCAGTCATGGGCCATCCCATTAGTAATGACCCACACAGGAGTGATAGAGTAGAGTAGAAGAGGGTACACTTCAATTAAAAAATAATTCTGAAATGATTAGAAAAGTCAGACAGAAACACGTTGAGTAGCATTATTGGAAAATTAGAAATGGCAGGTAGATCGATGAGCGAGTGATCTTCTCTCTGACTTCTACCTTCTCTCTTCGACGGTGTGAATGCTGTTCATTTTTGCGGCGGCGACTCTTGTGTGTAGATAGCACTATCCATCCATGCTCTGAAGTTAATAACTCTCAATTGCTCTTGTTTCTGGAAATTAATCACTTTTTTACTCTTGAGAGCAGCTGCTGGGAGCTGACCTTCATCGGAGGAGAAGAGCTTTGCCAGTGCTACCGCTAATGGCGGCGACTCCGTCCCTCTTGTGCTTGCTTACGTTGCTCGTCGGATTTCTTGTCGCCGACTCCAAGTTTATTGCATACGACACTTCCCAAGGCATAGTCCCCGGCAAAATCAATGTCCATTTGGTCCCTCACACCCACGACGACGTTGGCTGGTTAAAGACCGTTGATCAGTATTATGTTGGCTCCAACAATTCCATCCAGGTATTCAGGCGTTTTGAATGTTTCTTATGGACTCTCTGAGGGTTGTTTGTTTCTTCTGATGATTTGATTTCATATTTTCAACGGACGGATAATAGGGGGCTTGCGTGCAAAATGTGTTGGATTCTTTGGTTCCTGCTCTGCTGGCTGACAAGAATCGCAAATTCATTTATGTCGAACAGGCAACCCTCTTTCTCTCTTTCTTTACTTGCTGCTGCTGCTGCTTCCGCTTCCAAATTGTTTGATTCTAAATTGTAACCGTACCTCCAATCTTACCCAGTTTATATATCCACGGTTAAAAACTGGCACTTGGTACTTACTGCAAGATGATTACATAACATATGTAACTTGTATGTCTTGCTGCTTAATCAATGCATTGTATTGCAGGCATTCTTCCAGCGGTGGTGGAGAGATCAGAGTGACTCCGTCCAGAGTATAGTCAAGCAGCTAGTCACCTCGGGTCAATTAGAGTTCATGTAATCTAACATGCCAAAAACTGCATTAGCAGGTCTCTTTTCATTCTTTTGGTATTAACGCTTTTTTATTTTTTACCGTTGCTTCAGAAATGGGGGAATGTGCATGCATGATGAGGCTGCAACACATTATATTGATATGATAGATCAGACGACTCTAGGGCATCGCTTTATTAAAAGGGAATTTGATGTGACTCCAAGAATTGGTTGGCAAATTGACCCATTTGGGCATTCGGCTGTCCAGGCTTACATGTTGGGAGCAGAAGTAAGCACGCCTTTGGCTTTACCTTTGAACACAAAATTTCTTTTTTCTATGCAAAGAGTACGGCATTCTGAAATTGGCCAGAGCATTTTTACCGTGGACAACATTTTGGTGTTGATGTAGGTTGGATTTGACTCACTTTTCTTCGGGCGAATAGATTACCAGGACAGGGCTAAGCGCAAAATTGAGAAGAGCCTTGAATTTGTTTGGCGGGGTTCGAAGAGTCTCAGTTCATCTGCTCAGGTGACGAACTAAGATTGCTTTTTGTTTTATATAGCATTTTTACAACTGGGATTCTGGACTTGTGCATATCATGATGGATATGTTTCCCTTTAGTCGTTATGTAACATTAGTATTGTTAGTTTTCTTTTTTTCTTTCTTGGCACCAGAAGATATTTTCTGTGCTGACTAACTTTGTTATTCTTCTAAACTGTTGCAGATTTTTTCTGGTGCATTCCCAGAGAACTATGAGCCTCCATCTGGTTTCTACTTTGAAGTTAATGATGATTCCCCAGTTGTTCAGGTAACATCGTGATTCATAGACAAGTTTTTTTAATTTCCTTTGGTTTATTGAATATTTGCTTGTTTGAATTGTTAAACTTAATTGCTATTCTGTTGAAGGATGACATCACATTGTTTGATTACAATGTTCAAGATCGTGTTAATGACTTTGTTGCTGCTGCAGTAGCACAGGTAAGTTTCCTGGTTATCGTCGGCCAATGCTCTTTTCTTTTTTCTATCATATGGGGCATTATTTTAGTGGCTGACAACAATTACTTATTCTCAGGCTAACATAACTCGAACAAATCATATAATGTGGACCATGGGAACAGATTTCAAGTATCAGTATGCACACACATGGTTCCGACAAATGGACAAGCTCATTCATTATGTCAACAAGGTAATAATTGCTTGGTGCGTTAATGATTCTGAGCTGGTTTTATAAAATTATTAGTCTCACTTTTAATGCCTCTAGGAAATATCTAAGTTAAAATGATAAACTGGATATTTATTTCAGTCTATTACCTTGTTTATCTACCCCCCTCCCAAAAGACAATCTGTCCAAAGATGTAAACTGATTAGGAATTGTCTTGTATGACTTTTGTTGATTTCTTTTATGATTAAAATCCAATTTTCTTTTTTTGGGCACTTCCAAGGATGGACTTGTTAATGCTCTGTATTCTACTCCATCCATATATACGGATGCAAAGTATGCTACAAATGAATCATGGCCAATCAAGACAGATGATTTCTTTCCGTGAGTTTTTATTTTATTTTTTTAATCTTCCCTTTGACATATCAACTAACCGTACTGTAGAAACTGAAGTATCCACCATACCAGTTATGCAGATCGTACAAATGCTTACTGGACAGGGTACTTCACAAGTAGACCAGCCTTGAAAAATTACGTTAGAGCAATGAGTGGCTATTATTTGGTATATTCTTGTAACTTTTCTATGTATCATGAATTAGTGTTTCCAGTTTGATGACAGATCGTCATATATGTATGTTTCTCTTGGATAACAAGGCTGCCAGGCAACTAGAATATTTTAAAGGAAGGACTGGTTCAGGGCCCAACACAGACTCGTTGGCAGATGCCTTAGCAATTGCGCAACATCATGATGCAGTCAGTGGTACAGAGAAGCAGCATGTTGCCAATGATTATGCAAAAAGATTGGCGATAGGCTACACGGAGGTGCAAATTAGCTTTAACATCAATGTTCTTTTCAGTCCTCACTCTATTTAACTCAAATTTTTCATTCGCTTGTTCATTGTCTTTGTGCAGGCTGAGCAAGTAGTTGCTACGTCACTTGCTCACTTGGTTGAGTCTGCATCATACACTGGATCTGTAGATCCAACTACAAAGTTTCAACAGGCAATTAATTACGAGCCCCTAAGCTATGCTATTTTTATATCATGTTACTTGACCTTCAACTGAATGGCTGGTGATAATTTGGATTTTGAACTTTAGTATGAGGTAGTAGCAGAGATGAATTTAATTACTCTGTTTAAGATGATTACGCCAGTAAAGAAGCATTTTTTTATAACGTAAACAATGAAGTAGAGTGATTGAAATTTCAAATTCAAGCTAAGAAGAACAATGATTGAAATTTCAAATTCAAGCTAAGAAGAACAGTTGATCTCTCTATCATCTTTTCTTCTTTTTCATTTACTTTGTTTTCATTGATTCTCCAGTGCCCACTTCTAAATATCAGCTACTGCCCTGCATCAGAAGTGAATTTATCCCAAGGGAAGCAATTGGTAAGGAAAATAAAGTATCTAATGTCATCTTCTCAAGTGTATCAACCAAGTATGACTTTATATTCCACCCTGTGAAATATATTTTCTGATGGTGTTTCTCGTCTATAGGTTGTTGTGGTGTACAATTCCCTTGGATGGAAGAGGGATGATGTAATTCGAATTCCTGTGAGTACTTCCTTTCAAGTTCTATCTTAGTGCTTTGTGTAATGTGTTAGTGTTTCCTCTCCATTAATATAGAAATAAATAAAAATAAGCATAAGGAGGAAAATCCTTGCAAGTGCCTAGATTGAGTTTATATGTTAACCAGGGTTTGTGAAGTCTTAGCGTATTTGGGTTCCTAAAGTTCTGTAAATGGCCACTTTATAATTTATATTGTTAAATGAAACAAGCCCATGTGAATACCGAGTTGATAATCAATAACCCACTTCGTGATATTTACGAATAATGTAGGTTATCAATGAAGATGTCACTGTTCATGATTCTGAGGGAAGAGAAATTGAATCCCAGCTTCTCCCACTAGATGATGCCCATGCGGGCTTAAGGAACTACTATGCTAAGGCATACTTGGGTCAAACTCCAACAAAGACACCAAACTATTGGCTTGCATTTACAGTATCTGTGCCACCACTCGGTTTCAGCACATACACTATCTCAGCTGCCAAAGGAGCAGGTCCACTCCTATAACGGCTTTGAAATTATTAGTTTTTTTTTTTTTTTGTTAATGGGAGCATAGATGGATCTATTCTTGCTAGGAATCTTAATTTTTCATTGATTGTTTCCCTTTTGGGTAAAGGTGCTGGTTGCACCAGATCATCTGTACAGACATTTCAAAGTAAGGAAGAGTCCACTATTGAAGTTGGTCAAGGAAATGTGAAACTCACGTTTTCTACAAATCAAGGCAAACTGACCAATTATGTCAATAGAAGAAGCTTGGTAAGTAATGCACCTAACAGTTGCGTAGTTACTATATATCTGTTTTTGATTGGTGTGATTCAGTGTCAGGTTATCGACGTTGTGATAGCTCTCTTAATCCAACTGCCAAAAAAGGCAATGAAATAGAAAGAAAAAATTGTTGTAGCTAACTCAATTATTCATTTCTTTTGAAGGTTGAAGAATTGGTCGAACAGTCTTACAGTTTTTATAATGGATATAATGGCAGTGATGATAAAGCTCCTCTGATTCCTCAGGTATATATACATGCTGATAGAAGTTGTGCCCTGTTGCAATATTTCTTATTTTCTATTTTTATGTTTTCAATTTGAAGGACTTGAAAACTGATGATTAAGTGATCCTTTCTATGGTATCTATTTGTTTCAATATAAAACGTTTTACTGTTCTTTTTCTGTTTTTCTAGAATGCTGGGGCTTATATTTTCCGTCCAAATGGCACGTTTCTCATAAAACCTGGAGAAAAGGTGTGTTCTTTTACCTTATGAAATATAGTTTAGACTCAGGCATAAGTTGGGATATTGTTGATTAGCAACTGTTGTTTAATATTTCAGGCTTCTCTGACTGTCGTGCGTGGACCAGTAATAGATGAAGTACATCAACGTATTAATTCATGGATATATCAGGTGCCTTGCTTGCCAAGTGCTTGCCATCTCTGTATATGTTTGTTTCTTTGTTCTATTGCAGGCTGAGGAGCATCATTATTATGTTCTAAAATAAAATCTCAGTAATGTTTCATTGGATGTGTGTGTAGGTCACCAGAATTCACAAAGAGAAGGAGCATGTTGAAGTCGAGTTTATTGTAAGCTTATCAAATAAAGACAAAAAAATAAGAAAGTTGGAATAAAAATTGAAAATCATTATCAAGCCTATTCATTGAAAATCTTTGCAATTTCAGGTTGGGCCATTACCTACTGATGACGGAATTGGAAAAGAAGTTGTAACTCAACTGGCCACTACCATGGCTACCAACAAAACGTTCTACACTGATTCTAATGGGCGTGATTTTATCAAAAGGGTATACTAGTTACTTGCTCTTACAATGGTTTATCTAGTAGTTTTGATATCATGTTGATGCTCAAAACTTTATAGCATCTCCAAAAGAGTTAACAAATTTTTTTCTATACAAGTGTACTTTGCTAACCCATTTGGCACATTTCTACCTTAAAAATTTGTCACTCCAACCCACTTTTCAAAATTTATCTTTCACAAAATATGAATAATTATTTGCATTCCTCCCTTGGTGAGATGAGTTCATTCCCCCACGTGCAAATAATGTATCTTCACTGTAAAAATTTTGTAATCAGAATCGTTCAATATCTTAATCTTCATTTTAAGATCATCGTTACAAAAAATCATTCGAAACGGAAATCGTTTAGTCCTTCAAATGTATCAAATGAATGGAAAGTTCATCATTTATATGTTACTTGGTACCTACACCGTTGATTTATTGTTGGCATAACATAATGCAAGGATCTCTTTTTTGCAGATTCGTGACTATAGAACAGATTGGGACCTGAAAGTGCACCAACCTATAGCTGGAAATTATTATCCAGTATGTTTATTTTTCCTTCCTCAAAGTAAACCTCTTTTTTTATGTGGCTTTTCTTATATATTTCTTGTCTCAACTCTCTAATACTCAATTGTACCATAACTTACTCTGCCCAGGGTGCTGGGGGCTATTTCTGTTGCTCTTATTAACTTTCAGTTTTATTAGCAAACTGAGTTGAAGTTTGTATCAACATGTGGTTTGCACTTACACAGTGTTGTGCATATGGCTGAAAGAATACTGTGGTCCCTCCCTTTAATTAGTAGAAATTCATGAATTAGAAGACATGATAGTTCTATTTCCACTATATCCTTTTAAATAGAATAATAATTTCTCCATCTTAAGATTTTCTAAATCAAATGCATATGTTTTTTTGTACAAATTTAGGCTCCATTGCCAGCTGGTTGCTATTGGATAGGTGAGGGTTGTACTAGTTTATTATCTTCACATTTTTTTCATGTTGTCCTTGCAGATTAATCTTGGGATATACATGCAAGATAATAGTACAGAATTTTCGGTTTTGGTGGACCGATCTGTAGGAGGGTCCAGCACAGTGGATGGACAGATAGAGTTGATGCTCCACAGGCATGTTTTTATTCTTAAATAAGAACGACAGTCATGAATGTAACTATTTCATAAAGCATACAGATTAAAGTCATGATTGGGATTTCCTTGTTTCTCTTACCATACAGGAGACTACTGCTTGATGACTCAAGAGGTGTGGCAGAGGCTCTAAATGAAACCGTCTGTATTGACAACGTTTGCAGTGGACTAAGAGTAAGTACATGCTACCTGCTTTGCAACGACTACCGTGCGGTGTTATAGACCAAACTGGAGTTTTGGTTGCGACCATATCTAGATGTGGTATAACTATTTTGACTATCCTAAGAGTTTAAGGTTGCCTAACTTTTAGTGTCCACCTCTTGCTTCTGTTAAACTTATCAGATCCAAGGAAAATTTTATTTCAGAATCGATCCCCTGGGAGAAGGTGCCAAGTGGCGTCGTACTTTTGGTCAGGAGATATATTCCCCTCTTTTACTAGCTTTTTCTGAACAGGTGAAATTATAAAATACAAAAAAAAACATAAAGACATGTAAGTTTTATTTTAGTCTTGTGAGCTGCTCAATAATAGGCGACTCCCTTTCTGTAGGATGGAGATAACCGGAAGAATTCTCATGTAACCACATTTTCAGGGGTTGGTTCCTCGTACAGTTTACCTGATAATGTCGCTCTTATAACTCTTCAGGTACTTGGGGCTTATCTAGAATTTCAGATATTTCTCTTTAGCTTTTTCATTATAATTTTATCTGGATTAGGTATCCAATTTAACTTTCCTAGAATATTGAATTGAAATTCGAAACCATAACGGTAGCAGGAGAAAACAGAATTGTGATATCCTGTTTTCTTTAATTTCCATAGGAGCTTGATGATGGAAAAGTTCTCCTTCGATTAGCACATTTATATGAGGTTCTAACTTCTCACTCGTTCTACTCAACAATCTATATCTGCTCTAGTACTTCGTTCATTTGTTTATAAAGTACTCTTCACTTCTGATCCTCCACATTTTATTTACTACTATTGTTTTTTCTTGTTCAAAATGGAGCTCAGATTGGAGAGGAGAGGGATCTTTCTGTAATGACAAATGTAGAGTTGAAGCAGCTCTTCCCCAGGAAGAAGGTAAAAGAATGAGCCACAAACATTAACCAGAGTTCATTGTAGAACCCCTTTCTTATAATATTGTGCTTTTCTGGTACAGATTGGTAAACTTACAGAGATGAATTTGTCGGCAAATCAAGAACGGACAGAAATGGAGAAAAAGAGACTCAATTGGAAGGTGGAAGAAGGCTCTTCATCAGAAGCAAAGGTTTCGAGGGGTGGACCTGTTGATCCTACGAAACTGGTTGTGGAACTTGCGCCAATGGAAATCCGAACTTTTCTCATTGAGTTTAACCAAAGCTTCCATCGTTATTTATTTGATGCCTAACCTAATGAGGTTGAAAATGTTGTGGAGGCTTGAGAGGCCCTTGGCATCTGGAGACCTGGACTTTTGCTGTCATGTAAATAGACTTTTGAGTTATGTTTGTACTGTTGGACAAAAAACATAAAAATCATGGAGCCATGTGGTTTTATGAAACGAGGTTGGACTAAGTATCGAGTTAGCTAAGCTACTATTGCAAGCGACATGGATACCTTGTTAACTTGTGGCATATAGTAGCTGCTATGTGACTTTTGAAACTCCTGAGTGCAGATTGATCTTGAGGAGGTCGAAGAAATGGATGTCGCCTACCCTCCTCAGTAAATAGCTCACAAGTTTGCTCCTCTTCGGCCTCCATCTTATCCAACATGCTTTGGCCTCTGTTAGAGGAGGCTGTAGGGCGCACATGAGACTATCCTTATGCGCCATATCTATAAAGTCTACAAAAAGTATCTTAAAATTAAAGAAAATAATCACTAACACATAACAAGAAGGCTTATTATCATACAAAATAAGATTTGGTTATAATATCTACTTGTATTTAATTCATTCACCATCTTTATGGTCAGATTGTAGTTATATTAAGTACATATATCACATCAAACATATCTAACTATTAAGTGGTGTTTGTATTAAATACATATAAGTATTGTAATCAGTCCCCCTAAAATAATAGTAATAATACTTGTTGGAGCCTTTCGACATAACCCTACCGGAAATTAGATTGAAATCCGGTATATAACTACCGAACAAGGCAACATGCTTCCGAAAAGTCTAAGGACCCTAGCTGCAATGGTTCGGAAAGATCTACCAAAGCCATCTAAGCCCAGGGGTTAAATTGTAATTGTAGCGGTGGTCGAAGTCGAACCCTATATTCGGTGAAGATGCTCAAGGAGAGATAGGCGGGTGGGGTCCTCTAGCGCGTAATTGCGCTGTCCAATAAATACAAGAAAATAATAAAAGGGGATGGGCAAATGCGTGACTTGCGAGCCGATTAGCGAAAAGAAGAACAAAGTGTTTTTGGAAGAATTTTCATGTCCATCTTGCCCAACCAAGACCAAGGATCTATATCGTCATCTGCCTCTTCAGCTCCCTCTGTAAACCCTAACTCCCAACATGGACACCGCCACCGCCACCGTCACCTTTCCCTTTCTCAATCTCAGCCCCAGTCGCTGTCTCCGCCGGATCCCTCCCGCCAAATTCTCACATTTGGTTCGCTTCGGATCTCCGACTCTCAATCTAGCTCCTCCGCTACTGGAGGTATCTGATTTTCAACTTCTTCAATCTGTTTCTTATCCCGTTGCTTTGTTTCTTAGAAAATTAAAACCCTAGAATTTGAGCAAATTGGAAGAATCAATCTTTTTTTGGATGAGTGCAGCAGTTTGGAGTCAATTATTGATCTTCCCTCTGCTCGAAGGTGTTTGATTTTTACTATTTGAAATAGAATGTTGTTTAAATTATTCGTCTGCAGGCCTATCACCACCGGCACCGGCTGCAGAAGATTCTGGTGGATCTTCCCAGCAGGTATATTGACTTCATGTTTTGAACCTTTCGTTTTTTCTGCAGCACCCACGCTTGTATGATCTGAGAGAGCCATTGAGTAATGACTTTCAATCTTTGGTCATTCCTTGTCCTTTATCTAGGTGATTGAGTTAGGGATGCCTGGGTGTAACAAGACTTTACCTAATAACCACCACAAGACACATTCACAGTGTCACTCTGGTGGAGGTGGACGAGGGGTTGGATCACCCTGGTCTAGAGGGAAAAGATCAGGAACCTTTGGTTGTGGTTCAACTGAACAAAGTATCGGATCTGCTGCTTCTCATGGAAACTCCACTCATCAAACAGGAAGGAAAGCCCAGCTAATGAATGGCAACCACTTGTTGAATTTTTATTATGACCCCATAGCTCGTCCTCAGCGTAGAGCTCCTCCTCCTCCAACAAGAAGGCAGCAAAAGAGGAAGCCTTACAATAAAGATTTATTTCTTCAGGCTAACTACAAATTTGTGGTGTTAGATTCAGGAAACTACTCAGCTGAATCGATGGATCCAGACAAGATGTTACAATGGGAGGACATCATTTGCGTGAGATATTCCACCCCAACTGTGGTTCAATGTCCCATTTGTCTGGAATATCCTCTTTGTCCGCAGATAACCTCATGTGGACATATTTTCTGTTTCCCATGTATTCTGCAATACTTGCTGATGGGGAAGGAGGATCATAAAGGAGACTGCTGGAAAAGATGCCCGTTGTGTTTTGTGATGATATCACCTAAGGATTTGTACACTCTATTCGTGGAGAATGTCAAGCAGTATTGTGTTGGTGATACAATAGAGTTTATGCTTCTTAGTCGACAAAAGGACTCATTTACTTTATCCCATAAAAGTAAACAAGAGAAAGATGCCGTTGGAGGTTGTGGTGATGAAAGCTATGACCCCTTTTCAAAGTTTACATTTACATCAGATGTAGATCTTGCAGTCAGAAAAGCGATATCAGAGTTAGATGGTTGGTTGGTCAGGGCAGAGTCGGGGCTTGTTGATGACATAGAGAAGCTTCCATATGTATGTGCTGCAATGGAACAATTAGAACAGAGGAAGAAATATTGGAACGAGCACCGGGCTAGCGACAGTAATAAATCTTGTATATATAATGATCATAATAGTGGTTCTATCTTGTCAACTGAAAATTCTGCGAATGGTAACACTGAAGCATCTACATTTGGACTTGCAAATCCATCCAATGAAGTCTATGACCATAATAAGCGTTCAGACAATTTATCTCTGGAGAAGTCGGATGATGGGACTTGTTCTGACAACTCTGTGGATGCAGCTGAATCATTGGAAGGCCATGAAAATGTTTTGTCTTCTTCATATGATGAAAGCAAGAGTGCTCGAGGGGACTTACATGACTCTGGAATTGTAAAGGAGAAGGAATCATACAATTTCTACCAGGTGACTGATAAATAGATATCATGTTTCCCATTTTTCTTATTGCAATTATTTTCTTCGGTTGTTTTTTGGGGAAGTAATCTGGCATTTTACTAAACTGCTCATTGCTGTGCATAGTTGCAACTATCTTTGTCTTGTTTGCGACAGTTGCTTGACTTTTTAAAATTGCTTTCATTTATATTCCTACTGGTTTGTATTTGGTGTGTTAGTCGGTCATTTGCTTCTTTTTGTCTTTGAACCTTTAGATTGAGGAGAGATTTCAATGTGGTTTTGCTATTAATATTTTATGTCTCTATATCAGGTAGCTGATGGTCAGCACATCATTCTTCATCCATTGAACATGAAATGCCTGCTACACCATTATGGGAGCCATGATATGCTACCACACAGGTATCGTCAAAAGCTTGCTGATTGTTTCTGCTGTATGCATAGACTATGCAAAATCAATGGCAAAGCCCCCCTTTATTCTTTCTTCTATAGGATGCATATTCTTTACCGTTGTACTTGTCTGAAAATTTCGGTATGGTATTTGCAAGTGCGGCATTAAAAGAGGGGAGGGGGATGGGGAGTGCCCTTTTATTAACTATGGGGTCTTCTTATATCAACTGAAATGTGAAAATGGGTCTAATTCGTTATTGCAGGATAAGTGGAAAAATTTTGCAATTGGAGACAGTGACTCAGACAGAAGCTATGAGGAGGCGCTACCGCTACTTGAGTCATTTTTCTTTAACAACAATACTCCAGGTACCTTTGATGCATGATCTGTGTGAGGTCACACTATAAGAGCATTATTGTTGCAGGCTGTGTATAGTATCTCATCATAATTCTTTCAAATTTCAGTTTTGTGAGATTGATCTGAGTGAGTTATTGTCTCCTGATGCCTTGTCTCCCTTTATGGAAGACATAAAGAAGCGTGAAAAGCAGAGGAAACAACTTGCTAGGAAGGTATTATTAATTGCTTCTTCATTATAGACTGTAAAAATAACAGTAGTTTGTTCATGCTGTAAAATTATATGCTGTTCCTATTTATAGGAGCAAAGGGAGAAAATGAAGGCTGAATCTACCGTGGCATATCCCATCCCCATAGTAGCAGGTTATGGACAGTCCTTTCATGATGGATCCCCTACATTCTCCATGGATGACTTCGAGGGTAATTTAGTGTTCCTTGTATATGTTGTATATCTTTAGACGCATGACCCTTTGTAGGTATATTTAGTCAGCTCAAGTAGTAGCATTGGATTGATTTGGAATAAATTTATTGTTCAAATAAGGAAAAACAAATTTGGAGTATGGTGAGGCATACATGGGTGCTCTAAGTTGTTAAATTAATTATTAATCTTTCTTGTTGAAGTTTGCAGATACATATTTGTACATACTGCGGTCTTATGTTAAATATCATTTAATAGTTTATTTTGTTCATATGCTTCCTGTGTTCAGCTTTGGGAAGTTCTACAGCGACATCTTCAAGCTCTCCTGTTGTTGGGGAAAGGAAGCTCTTCTCAAGTGTCACAAGGCTTGGTTTTGCTGCTGCGCACGATTCTCCAGCCCTGAAACTAGAAGGAACCAATTCTCTGAATGGGGATGATGCAGGGAGAGTCTCTCCCAAGACAAATGGTATTTATCAGAATCTTGTTATACAGGTTGCTTTTTGTGCTTGAGATAATGTGTATGCAATCAAATCTCTTGTAGCTGAGGGATATTTGATCAGGGTCATACTAAGATAATAGTATGTTGTATCTCGAGAGTTTGTGGTTGCTCAACCTTGTTTCATTTTTTTCTTTGGCAGCAGGTACCCAGAATGCGGGTGTTACGTCATTTGCTAATATAATCTCCAGAGCTAAGCCTGGTGAAAATATGGACCCGCCCAAGATAAATGATTCGGGAAAGAAGGGAAGGAAACAGAGTCGAGTCCTTTTGTCAACAGCTGGTGGTCGACGCTACTGATGACTTGTCAAAACCTCGAGTACCATGATGGTGTCGTCTTGTATCATAAACCTTTGATGACACGAAAGTCAGTGAATGTATGACCATTATGTATAATGGGGTAGATGGAAAAACAAGAACCATTTCTGAAATCCTTACCCTCTTTTCTTTTCTTTTGTTTCTTTTTCTAGCTATTCTGTTTTTCATCTTGAGAAATCCATACTAGAGAGGCTGAATAATTGTAAGTCTTGTTTCAAAGCGCTTCTTATATTTTTCTTTTGTCTAAATGCGCGTGCAAAGGATGCAAAAATGTCGCCAATGTTTTACAAATTGGAAC